GCAACCATGCCGCGGCCCTCAGAGACGCCGGAACCCAGGAAGAAACCCGCGCTTGGAGCCCCCGGAATTTTTATGGACCCGAGGAGTAAGCTAATCCTTCCATAATTTCAGTCAGTGCGCACTAATATCACTTAAGAACTGAAGGGCTTCCACGTGGAGATCGAGGCTGTTGCGGTATGTTCCAGTTGTTGTGAGTGGTGCGTGGACATGGGCTTTGATTGATGATTCATTCAGCTGTGCATGTATTGCGGCGACGTCAACGATGGCGCGTCGCAAATGCTGACCTGCCAGGGGTGTGGACTGTTTGTGTGCTCCGGCGGTCCTGACTGTTGTGTGGAGGAGACCCCCGGTGCCCCACTCAATAGCCATGATTTCCATTGCCCGCAATGCAGTCACTACATGCACCGGCCAATCACGGTGAGTTCGAAGCGGATTTCTGTGTACAAAGTGTGCTTACCTGTTGTGTAGTACCACCTCCGCGCCCACGCTGCGCAATGGTCAGTTTACGCTCAAGGGATGTACCCCATCCTGCTCTACACCGCGCACGAGCCGCGTCTGCCGTACCTCACAACTCTCCTCGGGGCTCAATTCGAGCAGGATTATGCTCTTTGCCCCGGTAAAGTGAGTGGTCGCTGCTTGAACGGCATACTATAACCTCAATGTGTATTCACCACTTCGTCCATTAGCTCCACTCTGCTTCGCTCACGCTAGCGCAGAAGGGATGGGATGACCTCGACAACATCATCGGTGCAGCCCGGGAGTGGAAGCTCCGTGGACCGAAAAATGAGCTTTCCGTCCTTGCTGCGGTGGAGTGCCACAGCGACCCCGAGAGCGGTGGTATTACCTACCGACGCAATCAGAACGGCAGGTCGTTTGTGAACACGGTCACGACAGTACGTACCCCGTATTCCCTCATTTCTCGTCCTCAGAATGCCTTTTCTAGGTCGTCGAGCTCATGTTCGGCGCGCTGTGGCGTGACCTGCCGGTCATCAAAGGCCACCGTGGCCTGGTGCTCATGTCCTGCGGGTACATGATCACCAACCCTGCCTGCGAAAAGGAGATCTGCACGCTGGTGACGCGGTGAGTATAGCGTGCCATAAACTGATTTCTTCAATATGCTGACTGTTTTCCAGTGGGTACTTCACATTCATCATCGGATTCCCAACCACGACCCTCATCCCGCAGCATGCTGCACTCTCCGTGACCCGTTTCCTCCAGAAGATCATGGTCCGCGGCATTGCTATCGAGGACGCGCTGCAGCAGGCGTGCTTTGTCGACGCCGACTTCATGGCCACGACCGGGCTACACCTCACCTATCGTACAACGGCCAGCACCATCAAGCAGGTGGCCTACGGCGCGGCAACATTGGAGGCGCCATGGGGCGCGCGTCTCAACTGCCCGAATCCAGCATGCAAGGGTTCGCCCTTGAACGTGCGTCCCCGAGTCCACAAGAAGCACGAGTTCGGCACGCTGGTGAAGTTCAGGTGCTGGACCTGCATGATGGAGACCCGGGACTACGTCCACCGGCCTCCCTGGGTTGTTGCCGCCGATGCGAAGCACCGAATCGTTGAGTATCCGATGGTCGTCGATGGGACACCGGTGGCCGATGCCCTTGTTGGCCGGTATGAAATTGTGCCGTGGACGCCGCAGGATTCGCAGAGGGAGCACGAGGCCATGGACACTACTTAGTGCGGGCTTCGTTGATGCTGTAGCGGCTGTTGTTTGTACTCGTCCTGAAATGCCATGCGTTTGTTACTTGCTGCGCAAACAACCATCCACTCCACTGTCCGAAGTTATACAACTGAAGGTATCTAACTGCAACGTCATTGCCTGGCGACAATTCAATATAAGTTTCAATCAAGCAGCCGTTATAGTACCCACATATGAATGTGTCTCATGCCTCAGGCAAGGGCGGACGACTCTCATGTGCTACGTTTCAATCACAACAGAAGACCCCACTTCTTATGTGTCTTTGTTCCATGAGTAAGGCTGGATTCCTGTCGATTCTATACACACCACAACGTGGCCTGAATGTAATGCCACATGCGCATGATATCTGGGCGATAAAGCCCATTTACCGTGCACCATATACACATTGGGGAAACTTTGCAACGGTTTGCGGTCTTAATGAATCTCCCATGAGTCGCGCAATATTTGTTTTATTCATGCACCCTCGGTGTCCAACAATTGGGTTCTCATTTTGCACAGGCCATTGCCCAGCCCAATCGCATTACGACAGACTGTACTCTACATTATAGCTACTTGAGGAACAGGCTCAAGGGTGTATCCGTGCTCTCGGGCAGCCAGATGCACAGGCAGTCCTGTATCAATTTTATTTCTACCCTTGCCTGGACACACTGCGGCACACCTAGCCATCAAATCATTACTTCACTAGTATGTACAAGCCGGCTGCGCGAATGTAGTTGCAGACTCAGTCTGTAGCTCAACAAGTGGACACACAAGACGTGACTCAGGCAGCCTGACTGCTTACTTTACACAGGCACATGAGGTGTCAGATGCTGTCTGAGATGTGCATGTTGAGCCATCCCAGTATGGTGAAACCGATTGGTCTGCCCTGCAGACCATTGCCATCACGTTGTCACTGCCTATTACAGGCTCTTGGGCTTGATTGCGCAAGTCCAAGATGCTAGCCTGCGAATAACATCTCCAAGAGCTGCCTTTCAGCTCCATGATCTCGATGAAAGCCAATGCTGGTGTTCAGCGAGGTGCTGAGACCAGGACATCCTATTTATCCTATTTATTAAGCGAAAACACGGTGTCTCCACTGCGTCGACATCTCGGCTTCATGATTGGCTGCAAGCTCTATATCTGCAGCAGAGCCGCCGTGGTATCCGTGCATGTGACTGCGCAACGGGGGCCCCGAGTCGCCCGGGTGTGGCCCGAGGCGCGAGGGGCGCCCCTCAATGTTTGCTTCAGAATCTACATTTAAGTGCTTACTTACTTACCTTCTAAACTCTGTGTTCTGAACGGTGAACTGCATCCCGGGCAGTGCACGGGTGTTTTCTAGTGTTGTATACAACAAGTCCCAGACTCTACACAGCCGCCCCTTGTGCGCAGGGCATGCCATGGGTTACCAGACGCGCAGAGGCATCTCACAGATCGCACAATGCCCGATGGAGTGTGCTTATCCCCAGAATCGAACGGTCTGCAATGCAGACCGTCTCTGTCGCGTCCTTGAAGCCTGTTACAAGCTCCTGGATTTGACAGAGCGCAGGCCAGATGCTAGCCCACGCATGAAACCCCCCTGAGCCGCTTGTGGACGCTCCGTGGTCGCAGTTCGACACACTGTTGATCACCCTCATCTGTACATGTCTGCCGACCCAGCATCGGTGTACAGCGAGTTGCTGAGCCCGGGACATGTCATATACAACATTTCCCAGGCTCTACACAGCCGCCTGTTGTGCAGATTCGCACTCAGGCGAGCCTGTGGGTTACCAGACGCGCAGAGGGGTCTGGTAGAGCGCACAATGCACGATGAACCGTGCCTATCCCCCAGATTCGAACGGTCTGCGATGCAGACCGTTTCTGTCGCATCCTTGAAGCCTGTTACAAGCTCCTGGATTTGACAGAGCGCAGGCCAGATGCTAGCCCACGCATGAAACCCCCCAGAGCCGCTTGTGGACGCTCCGTGGTCGCAGCTCGACACACGGTTGATCACCCTCGTCTGTACACGTTGGCCGACCCGGCGTCGATGTACAGCGAGTTGTCGAGCCCAGGACATGTTGTGTACAACACGTCCCGGGCTCTGCACAGCCGCCCATTGTGCACAGGGCATGCTGTGGGTTACCAGACGCACAGGGGCGTCTGGTAGAGCGCACAATGCACGATGAACCGTGCTTATCCCCCAGATTCGAACGGTCTGCGATGCAGACCGTTTCTGTCGCATCCTTGAAGCCTGTTACAAGCTCCTGGATTTGACAGAGCGCAGGCCAGATGCTAGCCCACGCATGAATCCCCCCTGAGCCGCTTGTGGACGCTCCGTGGTCGCAGCTCGACACACAGTTGATCACCCTCATCTGTACATGTCTGCCGACCCAGCATCGGTGTACAGCGAGTTGCTGAGCCCGGGACATGTCATATACAACATTTCCCAGGCTCTACACAGCCGCCTGTTGTGCAGATTCGCACTCAGGCGAGCCTGTGGGTTACCAGACGCGCAGAGGGGTCTGGTAGAGCGCACAATGCACGATGAACCGTGCCTATCCCCCAGATTCGAACGGTCTGCGATGCAGACCGTTTCTGTCGCATCCTTGAAGCCTGTTACAAGCTCCTGGATTTGACAGAGCGCAGGCCAGATGCTAGCCCACGCATGAAACCCCCCAGAGCCGCTTGTGGACGCTCCGTGGTCGCAGTTCGACACACGGTTGATCACCCTCGTCTGTACACGTTGGCCGACCCGGCGTCGATGTACAGCGAGTTGTCGAGCCCAGGACATGTTGTGTACAACACGTCCCAGGCTCTACACAGCCGCCTGTTGTGCACAGGGCATGCTGTGGCGCACCACATGCCAATCTCCCTCAAAACGCGTCTGGACACGTTAGAACGCGTCCAAACACATCCAAGAACGAGCTCAGACGCGTAAAAACGCGTCCAGGCAAGCCTTAGGCATTCGAACGCGCTAGAAATGCGCGTTCAAACGCTTGGGGGTCAAAGCACACCAAGTACGCGTTTTGGCGCGTGAAAACACGCCAAAAACACGCCAAAACGGGGTTACACATCGGCATAGCACCCTGGAAGGCGCCCCGCGCGATGGAACCGCGTTTTGCCACATCAAAGTGACGTGGTGGTGGTGGTTGGAAGGAGAGAGGTGCCAGCTGGCGCCTCTCTTACCTGAATGGGCAAATCACGTGATCAGTTCCCACGGCGCCAATCCTGCACCCTCAGCCACCCCAGCGACGTATCTGGCACTCAGGTAACTAGGGCAAGGCAAGATCACTTGCCAGTGATCGTTCGGACATGCAATAGAGTTGCTAGGATGTGTTAGCCGTTTGCCGTGTGGGTGGGGCATCGGGCGATTATAAGGGCGGACCAAGAGCGATGTGTGTGCATTGTAAACGCAAGTCAGTGGCCGATTGCGAGACACACGAGTGTTCGGACGAGGTAAAAACATGGTCCGTGTAGGCATTCGCTAACACAATGTTCCCGTGTGAATCGCTTTGTCAAACGTGTGAGTTAAACCATCTAAGCTAAGTAGGCTCGGCCAGGTTACCTCACTGGCTTATGTTCCCTATGATACCGTACAAATGTTTTGATGAATTGCGTTATAAAACGGGCGACAAGCACGGTCGAGGGGCTGATCAAGACAAATGAGCAAATGGGCGCCTAACTGACTTTGTGTGCGCAAGTGGGTCAATCACTGAGTTGCGTCCATGTCAACAGTATCCTGCGCGGATGGGAAGCTACGCTATTTCCGGTTGCTCTCGGCCAGCGTGTTCAGTTTGATCCCCGTTTCGTCAATGGATATTCCATTCCATGGTGCTGCCCCATCAAAGTTGTGCGCTTCCAGCGGACACGAGGCAAGAGACTTCCCAGGCCCTAGCACAGGTCACCGAGGGAATGGCCAGAGATGGGAATGTCTACTCGGCTCAGGCCCCAAAGCATGGAAGCTGTCAGATAAGGTTAGGCAGGCACCGTTTGCCCGAGCGATGAGTTAGCTCAGTTGTATGGCCTGTTGTAGGACTACGTCTCCATCTATTCGCGGTTGTAGGTCCTGGTTGCGCGATCCCAGCGTTGCAGTGCCTTGAGAGTGGTCACCCATATTCATGGAAGAGTAAGAGCGCTAAGCTGAGAGGCCTATCAAGACGTAAGAGTACGCACATATTAGCGCTTAGTGGGGACAGATCGTACGCGCCTATATTCTAAGCGGTCTTCGCGGGCGTCCCGCCCATGTCATAATTGCTCGACTCCCTGAATGCCTGCCCTCGTCAACGCCAAGTCCCGCCGCCTCTGCTTTCTTTCCTTTCGCAATGTGCCCCTTGAGCCTTTCGCCCATTATAATGGCTGACACGCCGCTCCGACCCACGGCACTCATGCCCACCGACGACAATTACCCCAATGATCATTACCACCTTGGCCAAGAATTTCTGGCCTTCGCATCTGAGAGCACGCCCCCCTACAGTGCCAAACCAACGGAGGTACTGGAATGGGCGAGGCAGTTTGGCATCACTGTCGTAAGTGGCGTCACGCTGTTTCCTGCCTCTAACACATTGTGCTTGTAGGATTGTGCGCGCAGGCTGGGCGTCCCAGAGCCGGAGATCGCGCCGCACGTCCACGCTGCGCTTTCCCGTCTGTCGCATAGCTACCCCGCTGATATGCACCCTAATATTGAGGAGGTGGACAAGCGGACAATCGCGTCCCCTGTCAATACAGAGGCGGCGGCAAAGCGGGAGGCAACAATGCTGCCAAAGGCAACAACAAAATGGACGGTGGGTGAGTTTGTGCCCATGGATTGGCTGGTAAGTCAGATCGGTGCAATCTCGAGATCGCTGTTAATGGTTGTTACCAGTGCGATCGTTGTATGGCCCTGGGTCGCACAGTTGACCAGTGCGCGGTGCGTGTGCGTGAACGGTCACAGAAGTGCGACCCATGCTTCATGGAAGAGAAAACGTGTACCTTCAACAATGTGTTTCTGACACCCCGCTTGCCCACTCCGCCCTGCGAAGGTGACATCCTGACAATGGGTTGGGCAGTAAGTCTAGAACCCGCAATCCAGTGATACTGACTTATTTCCCCTACTAGTGCGATCGCTGTATCAGGGTGAAGCGTACGGTCGGCCAGTGCAAGATGCGCAAGCACAAAAATAGGCTTCAATGCGACAAATGTTACAGGGTCCATCAGAAGTGTACCGTCGACGGCAGGCCTCCGCTGCTGCCTCAGAAAAAAGTCGCTGAAGGCCAATTGGAGATACCGGAGGAGGGTAAGCAGAATTTCCCAGTGACACGTAAGTCGCTAGCTGCTGACCGTGCGCGATCTCAGGCCCTGAATACGCGACTCCACCATACCCGAGGTTTCCTCACAACGGTAAGCTCAATGACAACTGGTAGGACTCTGCTGGCTAAATCACACTCATCGCGGCCAGCCACATCGCACACTGCGATGGACAACACGTTTGGAAACGCGACGGCCATGGGGTGCGCAACCAGTCCAGCCCCTGGTAGGTCGCGTTGACAATCTGGAGCGCGAGTCCCGCACCTCCGAGCTGTCGACAGCCTCCGGATGCGCGAGGAGGTTCACTAGTGCCGCGAGAAGGCTGCTCAGTTGCACATCTCGTGGTCGAAGGTACAACCCATTGTCGTCTTGCATTATTATTCCCCGTCGCCGAGCATGTAAAATAGAGCAATTAAAATGTTGTGCGATGCCTTCCTTTAGTCAATTGATCGTCTTGCGCTTCTCTGTCATACGATGATTGCAACGGTCAGTCATGAATGCTAGAGACCTGCCTTCCAGGCGACCGGTACAGCGCCGTGGTGACGAGGAGCTGTCACAGTGGGCCCAAGTGATGAGAGTGCGAATGCTTGAACATCCGATTTCCCTGGTGTATTGAAGCTGAGTGTATGCCGCGGACGCAGAAATCACAATCCCTACATCTGCGCATGTGGTTGTGGACCCATGTGTATCCAGTTGGGGCGATCGTGATGATCAACAAGCCCGATCAGCAAGATCTATCTAGATCGGCGAGATCTGTGCAGTGCTGATTCCACGATCGGGCCAATCATGGGTACCTGAATGTCTGCTTGCTCCTTCCCTGTGTCAATGTCGCGCGTTAGTTCGTTCCATATTTGTCTGGCCTTCGCATGCCCGCCGCATATGGGCGCAGCAAGCAATCGCTTGCTCTTCCCGTGTGGCGCGCTGTCTGTTGTGCCTTCTTTGCTTGCATGGGTCGGCCCAATGTTTCCTGTGCGGCGTTCAAACGTCGCGCGTGCAGCGTGCACAATTGAACGTCTAGCCGGTGTGAGTATGGTATAGAATATTTGGTCCAATGGTATGTGTAGCCGGCAGCTCACCCCAATGTACCGCGCAGTTGTATCCCGTTGTAATCGCCCCGTTCTAACACAACCAAAGCCCGTCAGCAACACATAGAACACCGGTCAATTTGCAACACTAAGAACGCACCACTACCATGGAACGCGAGCAGCGCATATGCATCGTTGACGTCTAGCTGTTCTTCGTCGT